GCTGAGTTTAGTGCTCTGAAGTTCCACCAAGGAGTCTTTGTGGCTTATGTTTTGCTTTTTGGGTGTTTCTGTGTGTGTGTGTGTGTATGTGTGTGTGTGTACGCAAAGCAGGGTGAGTAAGCATTGCTGTGAATTCAGTTTTTCTAAGCAATCTTGCAACCTCAAGAGAATGTGCAAGCCCTGTAGAAAAATATCCTGAAACAGAGTGGGGAACACAGAGATGGGGTACAGGCTGGGGAGCCCAGCAGACACATTCTACAGCCTAGAATTTGACTTCAAAGACTCTAGCCTTAAGTTCTTGAAAAGTGTAGCAGTGGATGAAATATCCCCCATGATTATCTTAGACCATTTAATCTGGTAAACCTAAAACAAGTGCCACAAATTACTTCCCACGTGACCCACTGGATTTTCTGGGAGCTTTCCTCTCCTCCCACCCACTTCTCATCTGAATGTCCTTGGTGGAGCACCCCTAAGGAGCAAGTCCTCTCAACCCACCCAATCCTCCTACCCCTGGCCCCCAACCCATATCACCCTTCTGGGTCTGAAAGACTCTGAATTCAAAGCTAAAATAAAAAAGAAACATTATTTTATTATTATCAAAGTACTGTCAGCACATGATAGAAATTGTAGATGAGCTTAAGACAAAAATCCAAGTCTCCATCTGCTCCAAGCTTCTGTTTCAGGGCTCAGGAGAAGGTTGCTATGTTCTAGTTCTCCTGGCGTCTTACCTCACAACTTCTCCAGACCGTAGGCCTACCCAACAATAACTGCACTTGCCTATTTCACAGAATATGTGTCCGGCCTGTGATGTGGAAGATGGCAATTGACCCATCCACGTATAACCCCACCTCCAATATTTGGCATTTAGATTTAAATATTGATATAGGTTATCTTTTGTCTTGAACCACTGTATGTGGATGTTGGAGAAACATATCCCAAATCTAACTCCTTAGCCTAAAATCACATGGATTGTGGTGAGGCTTAAGGTAGATATTAATGTGTCAAGAATCACTGATGTGTCTGGAAAAGTAAAGAAGGTGGAAAATAGACTGAATCGGTTTTTGTCCCCCGAAAGGAAGTATTATCTCTGGCATGGGGTGAACTGCTTAAGGTTTCAAAGTAAGTGCCAATGTTGGAGATTTGAGGTTGATCTCTAAATAACACTTATTGAAGAAGTGGAAAATTTGGCTGAATCAAAGGAAAACTATTGCAAGAGATCCAAAAGGACCCTGAATGGAATCAGTTCCAGGAGAAAGCCGCTGTTGTCCATGCCTGGACAACCACTAAAGAAGGCAGAAAGAACACGTTTGTCAAATTGGCCAAGTCTAAAGAGAATGTTTTCAAAGAAGTAGAGGTAAACATTGTCCAAGTGTCAAAATGAAAAGTATTGAGAACACTGTGATCAGTGTGTATGAAGTGGCCAGAGGAGGACAGCCCCACATACCCTCTACAGAAAGGCTCACAGTGACAAGGGGCCATTGTGACAGAAATTAGAGTGGTTGGAATGAAAGGTTTTGAGGACCTCAGCTGATGATTACATCTGGCGCGTATCCCTGACTTTATTTTAAAATAAAACTTGCTCCCAATAGAGAAAAAGAGGAGCCCAGAGGCTGTTTTGACTTTAGAATGAGGACGGGGGATAGTGGGTCTTCTAACAGCAAACAGTCAAATCGTACTGTAAGAGGTCACACAATGTCACTGTATACGATCTCTCAGCTAAACTTGATCCAAAACCATAGGTGAGGAAAGGGGGCTTCGGAATGCTGACGTGCACCAGGTTTCCCAGCTGCAAGGCAGAACACAAGGACGTGAACCCAAGCATCTCAACACTTTCAAATGAAGCTTGGGAAAGTGAGTTTGGTTGACAGAGCCTTTCGAAGAGACAATCATTATATTTAATTCTCCAGAAGAAACTCTCTTGAGTTCTGACCCCAACCTGACTTGGACCAAAAGTCTAAACTCAAAGCCAAACAGTAAAATGCAATTCCTTTTCTGTGCCTTGTCGACACTGTCCCAGACAGCCTGGTAATCACTGATGAGCCATGGAATCGTCTGTTCCTCTTTTTTGCCTGCCTACCCCTGGTGGGAGCTTGGACATTTGGGTCCCTCCGCAGCTTCTCTGCCACTTGCCTGCTGAGAAGGTTGTTATCAACAAGCCTGGCTTGTGAGGGATGTTCCCCCCAGAACTGGTGATGAGAATGAGCAGCACAAACACTGTCTCCGGAGGGCCTGGTCCTGCTGGGCCTCCTGCCAGTGCCTTCCATACATCTCCCCATTCATCTTTATGACAGCTCAGTGAAGGAGATACCACAAGAGTTCAATTGTACTGTTGTGGAAACAGAAGCTCACATAAAGTAGAAATGTGCCCCCAGGAAATGCAACTAGCAAAAGGTGCAAATGAGACCTGAACTCACGTGTGTCCAACTCCAAAGACCTCCTCAGCTACTGCTTTGCCTCCTTCCGTGGAGTCTGTAAACCATACAAGTCATCTAAAGACTCCAGCCTCTACAATTGGAGCCAATAATGGTACTATTTCCTTGCAATCAGTCAAGATCTCCCCACTTATCCTGTCTGCAGTTCTGCACTCCCACCTCTCAGTGATAGACATCTGGTTCCTCCCCTTACTCTTCAGGACAAGCGCTCGTCTGCATCAAAAAGGTAATTTCAGCTTCCTAGGAAGAAAAGCTGCCTGCAAGAACCAATCTCATGTTTCCAAAGAATGAAGGAAGAGGGTGAGCTTGCAGGGTGAGGTGCTTGTGATAACAGTAGCATCAATAATCACGGCCAATACATGAAGCTTTTCCGAAAAGCTGGGATCCAAACTCAGACCATATGCCCAAACAGAGGATCTTAGCAGAGAGCAGCAGCCCGAGGATGGGAGGCTGTGGCAGGGAGTCCGGGGCTAGAACCAGGGAACAGACCCATCTATTCTAGCAGGCAGGGCCCAGGAAGTGTGCATAGGCCTGGGATGTGCCCAAGAATTTTTCTTCTTTCCTGGCCGAGATCAAACAATGACTTTCTTAGCTCAGGCCTGTGCCTCCTTCATACAGCCAGTCCAATAGAAAAGACACTCAAAGGCAGCCAGCCTTTTGGGGAAAGGGGACTACGATAGAAATGCTGTTGGAATCAGAGGGTGGAGAATGAGCTGCTCCATTGTCAATGCTGGAAAAGCCAGCTGTGCACGCAGGCAGTGGGGGAGAGGATCGACCCTGGGATTCTGACCTCACACCACACACACTCAGCCTCCAGTTGGATCGCACACCTAAGTGTGAAAAGTAAAAGAAAGAACATGGCGAAAGAGAACATGGAAGAGCGTAGGAAAGGATTGTTAAAATGAAAAATACAACAGCACATACCCTAAACAAAACATTGATACATTAAACTGTCTTCAATTTTTAAGAAAAATCTATATGGTGAAAGAAATCAGGCCGCATATGGTGGCTCATGCCTGTAATCCTAGCACTTTGGGAGGCGGAGGCGAGAGGATCACTTGAGCCCAGGAGTTCAAGACCAGCCTAAGCAACATAGTGAGACCCCCCACCCCCTCGACTCAAAAAAGGAAAAAGAAAAGGCAATCATCAGCACAGCAGTCCCTAATAAAGCTGAAAGGAGACTATCTCATATGCCTGCAATTTTCTTTCTGGCCTACCCTAGAGAAGCTCTCACACAGGTGCACATGAAAACTGGGACAAAGGTGCCCGTTGCAACCCCAATTTAAGAGGAAACGAATGGAATCAACCCAGTGTAAAATCAAGTCAGTAGAGAATGCTTTAATTAACCACAGTGTGTTAGTTATCATCACAAGCACCTGATCCTACAAGCTCCACCCTATTTCACCATTCCCAATTAAATCAGGAAGGACTTAATTAACTACAGTCCATCAGGACAAGGTCCCGGAGAATTTAGCAAAACACTGATAAGGAAGGAGCTAGAGCGACAAGTGTCAACACAGGTGACACTCACATATATGATTTGAGTAAAGGCCTAAAGTGGTGAGAAATACAGTCATTATTTATTCAAAATGTTAAAAACATAAAATGTAAAAATATATACCATTTTGGTTGACTGTTTCTATGTGAGGCTTAAATGAGTCAACGAGGCAGTGCCCAGCAAGAGTGAGGCTTGTAAGAATTCTAGCCATTGTCAGCATCATGAAAGAGAAAGCAACACCAGTTTACTTAAGCCACTGGTATTTGGAGTTTCTATGATGTTGAAACCTACATTTCACTTAGTGAAAGTGGAATTGTAGGCTGAGGCAGGAGGATCACTTGAGGCCAGTTCGAGACCAGCTTGGGCAACATAGTGAGACTCCATCTCTACAGAAAATTTTAAAAATAAAAAAGAAGTGGTATTATGACATTTTTGTAGTTTTAAATTTAAATTAACTTAAAGTTTTTTAAAAACTAAAGTACTTAGGAAAGAAAACACTGGGCTGCGTTGGATGGGAGAGGATTCCGCTGGGAGCACAGCAGAAGCTTAGCAAACGCCCACTGAGGAGGGAAGGCAGGTGTGTCCGCAGAGGCCAGCGAACAGGAGGACTGCTGAGGGTGACTGAGGCAGCACTTCCTCTTCAGAGCAAAACTCCCAGGCCCAGGGCAGCACCCCCAACCTAGCCAGGGTGAGGGACCTGCTGGACCCACAGGCGGGAGGAGAAACAGTCCAGGGGCCTTCTGATTTGCATGTGGTATGAGCGACCCCTGATTTAGGCCTCATATATTTAGTGGTAATGTTTGTATTTTTATTTCCCCTTTTGTCATTTTTAATTCAATTGTTATTTCTTTTTCTCAGTTTAAGTTTGCCATAGTCTCTATGAGATTAATTCGTTAGATTATCAAAACTCAAAGTCAGCTGAAGACAGCTAAGAAGAACCCCCCAGGTGGAAAAACTGGAGGAGGGGAGGGAGGAGTGGAGAGGGCCCTGGAATTCCCAGGCAGCCGCCCCCGCCCCTGCCCCCATGCCCAGAGTTGCCCCTTTGATGACTGCTGTGACAGCAATCACTGGACCACTGTGCTCTGAGTCCGGGGCTCCTCCCTGCCCCTGCTGTCTTCCTTTGATCTCCTGGATGCCGCCTTGTTTTCCAGCACACGGAAACCCCTGGGAATGCTGGCTTGTCTGGGGAGTCTCCTTGGGAAATGCCAAGCAGGGAGAACGGGGAGTGTCCTGAGGATGTGATCCCAAAGCCCAGCAGGCGATCCTGAAACTGGCAGGCCCCACTGAGCCTGGCCCAGCTTGAAAGAGACAGTGAGCAAGGTCGCACAGGACCTTTAGAGCATGTGGCTGAG